CCAGACATTCTGTTTCTTATTACTTATTCTAAAAAGTCTGATGAAAACTGCCTATGTATACTGTATGCAGTAGTTGGCAAATTTAAACTACTTGTGTCACAGAATTTGGATGGAATTGTATACCCTTATTAATGCAGTTAAAGAGGCTAATTAAATTAGTGTATATCTTAATAGTATGTTACTTTAAAGTCTTTTTTATCAAATGCAGTCAATTTTAATTTTGGTTTCCATTTTTAAACTTGGGTGTTGCCATTGATTTTCATTTTTTGGATCTTCATTTTTTACATACAGTAGACTTGTGTTTTAAGCAGTAGTTAGATACTGCTTAAAACTAGTTAGACCTGTCATAGCATGTATTCCCCAGATCAGAACATCCCCTTCAGAGCCTCCTATTCCCCTGGCTTAAACAAGCTAAATCAATTGTAACTGTATTAGTATGTGTAGCTGTGTGTTTTAAAGTATTATGAAAGTGGTAATACAGCAAATACAGTACTGTACAGTATTCAACATAGATCAAATAAAATGTAGTAATAATAAAATGCAGGGAACACAGATGCCTGGCTCTCACGAATAGCCTTCGCTCTGTCTCTGATGGCATGACTTGAAGATTCATTCTTGCTATGCATACAGTATGTGCCAAACTGGTCACCATCATCCAAAGCCTTAAACGTGTTCAAAATCTTTGCTTAAGTCAGGCTTTTCTTGACATGCCTTTCCCCTTCGTACAGTACATGTATCTTTCCTTTCGTACTTATCAGTTTATGAGCCATATTGACAGTGATGCCACATGATATGTGTGCTATAGACTCTGAAGCTAGTTCTCAAAGTGTAGCTCAGGTGTGTGCTGTGCCAGATTTGAATTTGTGAAAGTTCTTACATTATTTGAGTTTTTAATTTATTTTTTCACAAATTTGCATACAAATATTTTGCATAAAATGAGGGTCTCCTGTATATACTTTATAATAAAGTGGTTTTAAATTTGTTACTCCTGATTTGTATAATCTTGTTCTAAGTTGTTGTATACCCTTCAAAGCATGGGCAGTGAAAACGCAAGTGAATGTTCATGGAGTAGCATTCTTTCTGTAAATTTAGAAGTGTTTTTAGAAGTTTTCTTTACTTGAATCTGCATTTGCCTTACATGTGAATACATTTATCATACAAGTGTAAGTATGCAAAATAAGAATTTAATTTATTTTTAAAACGGTGTGTCTGAGCAAATATCAAACAGACAGCCATCTTGATTAAAGCAGTTTATTTCTGCATGCAAGTTACAATTTTGCTTGCTTTGTCATCTTTCACTTTTATTAAACTTCATCCTTCTGAATGCAGAAAGAGGCCAGTTCATATTAAGGTTGGACCCCTTGGAAAGAAAACTGGCTAGTTTGCAGGAGGAACTTGGCTCTGCAGCTCCTGAAGCTTGGAGTACAAATGAGAAAGCACTGCTAACATGGAATTGATGGAGTTAATAGAGGTGTCTGCCAGAGAATGGCTTGACATTTTACCCAGAAGTGTACTTAGGTCCGCTGTCTGACTAGTTTCCTCTGTTTAATCACTTTTGGGAAAATCTTAAATCCAGCACTTGCAGTGAAGTGTGTCATTGGGGACATGTCCCTTACTAAATGACCGCTTTCCGGACTTGTTTTTCACGATACATTGCCTTATTTTATGTGTTACCTCCCCATTGATAACAAACAGGTTTCTGTGCTGTGCAGGCAATAAAACGCATGACAGATCATAAATCTAAGAGTGAGGTGGAATATTCCTGCTCCTTTTCATTGTGCAGTGAATGCTAATACCTCACAGCTACCCCATAGTGGGACTGGTTAGGGAAATGTTTCATTTTATTGTGCATAATGAAGTCTGCTGAACACGCGTAACCTGTTGTATGTAAGTCACAAAATAGTTATTTTAAGTGTTAAAAACTCATTATGCTATACAATAGACCTAAGGGAAAACATCTTTATTGTACACAACACAAGTTCTGACTGGAATTATTTTAACCGACTTCTATTTTTGAGGATCCATGATCTTTCTCAAGTTTGGAGAAATTTTACCAATTATTGTGGATGTGAGTACCTTTATATTAGATTGTTGTTTACTTGCAAGCAGATCAATTCCAAACTTGATCTTAGTTCGATCTGAATTGATCTTAGAAATGGTCTCAGTTCTACAATTAAGAATGAATTACTGTGCTGTTTTTTTATAGTATACACTATTGGTTCCAGATTAACAATTTGAAAGAAAAGGAGATTTCCTGCCCTAATTAGCAAGCTATTTTTTTCTTCTTTTTTTTTTTACTCCTCCTTAGGCAGGCCTATTAAAGCTGACGGGGCCCTTAGCCCTTTTTGTTGTTGTGTTGTCAATGGCTGCAGGTGGCCCCCTAGTTGTCTCTTTAGAAAGGAAGCTGTGCTTGTTGTTACTAATCTTCTTAGTGACACTGAACAAGCAAGAGTGGAGTTCCTATCAAACAATCCAAGGTACAAGTCCTTTCACAGGCTGTGAATCTGCCTTGTATCTGAATGCCTTTGACATGTGGTAGGGAACATATAAGTGCCAGTGTATTAAAAAGATCTCTTAGCCAGTGGAGGAGAAAAGAAAGTTACACACCAGTGCTTCTGAATAGAAAGAAAGGAAGCTTGTACTAACAGAGAGCTTTATTTGGCTGAAACATCCTTAAAATGCTGGTGGGAAGAACGATGAAAGAACTTAATTATAAGGGACACAAAAGGTTGCGTGGTGTTCTTCTTCCCCTTTTTCATCAGATTGTGGAAGAGAAGTGGATCTCAAAGTTGCCATGGTTGTTTCTAGATTTAGCATGCTGCATTCTCCAGTTAGACTTCTGTTCACATGATACCAGCTTTGAAGGTTTTACTTTGAAACAAAGGTACTGCGGTACTGTATAGTACAAGTAAACGATAGCCTCTATAAAGCTGTGGGGTACCAGACTTTGAGCTGAGAGGGGAGAAAAATATGACTTAAATATGACTTAATAATACAGAAGAAACAGATATCGTAAGATGAAATATATTTGTATGATTGCAACACTGGAAAATAGTATAACACATTTAAGAAAATTACCTGTTCACTGTATGTACACCAACTTCTCAGCCCCACCTCCTCTAGAAAATAGCATCTTATTATAGTAGCAATTATTATTTTTCACATCTTTCTGACTCAGTGCATGCAATGGTAGGGTTATCTGGTGTTGGTCCAATTTAAAAGTAGAAACAAAATCCCACTTAGTGGAAACAATTTTAGTGCTTCTAAACTCTGTTAGTGTTTTGGCTGCTTAACAAGAACAAATTAATGCTATTTAGAGAGAGCAGTTAGCCTCAGGCCTGTGTGGAACCCTGCAGTTCTCTTATGGCAGAGATTGTATCTCAGTGGGCTTTTTTGGCTGCATTTGTGGCATCCTTTAGCTTTGCTCCAATTGTTTGCCACCTTATATTTCTTGGAAATATAATATTGTTTTATGAAAAGGCTTGAATTTTTTTGGCAGGAATTTGCTGTTACAGGAAATATGATGTCAATATACATGCATATAGTTTCCATAAAGTTCCCACACAAGTACAACCTTATAAATTGTGACATAAGACCAGTATTATGTCACAATATATAAAGTTGTACTTGTGTGGTCCAGTCTCGGTATATTAGAAGATTAATCTGTGTCAGTGCTTGTTTTTATTTGTTCTGCTTTTGAATGCCTGAAGTATGTCTTAACTGAATCTTAAATTATAGACATCCTCATAACACACGTACCTGCGCACAACAGTATTCACTAGGTAGTGATCATGTGATATTTTATTTTGGAATGTAACATTGATATGTTCAGTACACTTGTTGATGTTATTTATGTACAATTCTTATAACTGACAGAATAAGAAGTGTTGTAGCAAGCACTAAGACCACCTGAATTACATAAGAAACAAAGGTTTCTAACATGCTCATGTGTGCACTAATTGAATTTTCATCCTTGTATTGCAATATCTAGATGGATTATATGTGGAAAGTATTTTAAATTCATCTTTATTCACTCTTGTTTTGAGGCTTGATATCTGCAATCAGTCCTTTCATATTCCAGATACTGTAGGAACAATTAATTAATTTGTTTCCTGTGGAGCTGATGTTTAGCAAACCTTTTTTATCTCAGCACATTCCTGCACACATTTAATTCAGTCAGACGGGACTGACATGAGTCATCGATGTTTGAACTGTTGGTGGCTACAGAATTAGGAATTCCTCCTCTTTATAGACAGACAGTTCAGCATAAAATGCAGACATATTAAAATATTCCCTTGTCAGCTCTGGAATGGCTTTCAAGGATAATGCAAGAACCATTTAAATCTTGCAGACTGTCACAGCCTATGAAGGAAATAGTGGAATTTAGTTTATTCTGATCAATATTGACATGTTTATGGCTTTATGACAACAGTTGTTGTCAACTGTTACTTGTACAATGACAGCCCATCTTTTCCTGGGGTATAAAACTGGTGTTCCTAATGGGCTGAATAAAGGTAATTTACCATTTTAATACGAGATATGTAGGCATTGTGGTGTTTCACACACTTATTTGGTCTGTACGATGACAAATATGTACAAATATTAAGTTCTAAATTTGCTTTCTGTTACAAGTTGTAGTTATTTTAGATGACCAATTATTGCTCGAAACCAATTAATTATTTGAATTTATAAGGCTGTTCTCCACGATTCCAATTGTTACCCACCTTCCAAAATCCTCTCACATTAAAGGCTCACGGTGATTGAAACATGACTACCTTTGTCATGCTGTGTAATACGAATTAAAAGATTAAGTGAAGTGTCACAAGTAACTGGAAAGACACTAGTTCAAGAAAACCATTGAGTTCGCAGAGCTGTGGATTTAAATGTTAATCCTCTCTTTAGCAAATGTGCTTCGTCCTCCAGAGTCTCCTTGAAATAAACACTTTTTCAAAAATGTTAATTTACCAAGCTCTGTGGTAATTTACTTTCTTTTTTTCCAGGCTACAGAGACGATATTCAGAATGGGAGTTGCAAGGGGAGTCATTAAACCCGTCAGGCATGGAGAGGTAAACTCAGAGCATGATTAGCACTTAAACCTTTCCCATAACAAAATGTTTCTGTAAAGAAACAGGGGCTCTTTGTTGCCAGCTGATTGAGAATTTGTTAGGGGTGTGATGGAGTTGATGTTTAGAAGAAAGAACAAAAGAAACAAAAAGAAAAAAAGAAAATCTGATATCGTAGCTTGCACAAGAACATAAAATAGGAACCGTTTTTGCCAAATAAGGATTATTTTTCAGCTGTTTCATTTCATGAGTTGCAAATATTTATAAAGCATTGAATGCAGATTTCACTTAAAACTCATAATTGATGATTAGGGGAATTATTGCCGTTTAGATTGATAATTGAATTAATTGGGATCTGTATTTTTGGAAAAAAGCTCATTTCTTTTCCTTTTTTTAGTTTTTAATTGTAATGTAAATAGTGATTAGCTAGTATGAAATTAATAATTTTAGCGTAATGATCAGTTTTGAACTTTGGATCTTTTCTAACATTACATAATAGCATTCCAAAAATTGAAACGCATCACCAATGCATTTGCTACCCACACCTGGCGAAATATCAAAACGTCCTTTGTTGTATGGGAGAGGTAATGCACTGGCTTTTGACTGCTAAGCACTTCCAGTGTGAGCACTGTATAGCAAATGACTAATGGGTGATTTAATAGCTGAAAATCATCTTCTTTAGTACAGGTTATCTATGCAGCTGTCGAGTTCTTTTTCATAATTATCTGAGGCCTATACAGTGGGTTCTCTTGATAAAGTGTTAGTTTTTTTTATTTACATTTTTTTTGTTTTCCTCACACCAATCTGGACTAGACGATTGTAGATTTTCAGTTGTAGTTGTATGATTGTGTAATTTTATATTTTCACATCTTGGTTATCCACTATGAGCCCTGTAACTGCACACAGGGGAGAATGAAGAAGTGTAGGCAGACTCCACCGAGCCACCCACATTCATGCTGTTTGTCTTTTTACACGTAAACATCACCACAGCCTTGTACCAGAGGTTGGTTAGCACCAGTCGGAGGAGATTCACGGGAGGCTGCAGGGTTCAGTATCGCTGAGATTGAAGGCCAACCAATCCCATCCTGCCATTGGTGGAGCACAGCTATTTGTGCATTGACGATTGGGGAATTCTGAACATCGCAGCTCGAACCCGTGATCACAGAGCTCATCCTATGCTAGGCCAAGTGCCTTTATCAGATGAGCCCCCAAAGCACTCCCTTATTGTTCATATTTGTATGCAATACTAGTTCCCTTTGACAAAATTGTACCATTTAGTAGAAGCTGATCAGAAGTAACAGTGGTGTGCAGTTTCAGGTTTAAAATTATTTTTCAGTTAATAACCATTAACCATTACATACAGTTTATATTACAATATTAACTTTCAATGATCCATATTCTTTCATCTAATTTAAGGTTGGATTGGATGGGAGAAAGCTGTTCTATCTCGAGAAACAGTTATTTATATTAGGGCAGGAAAGGGGGATCTGTTTTACTTTTAAAAGATGTGCACTTATTTCAAAAGAGAACTACTCTAGGGTGGTTTGTGGTCTGAGAGCTTGTACAGAGAGCTACTTCTTGTTCTGACTTGAAGTACAGTATATGTGTAGTGGTTGCTAATAACTGGATTTTCATTTAGCGTGAAAATATGAAGAATGACCAGCTTTGTTGTGCATGGTTATTGCAGTTGTCATGCAAATTTCCCTGCAGTTATAGCTAACATTTAAATACCTCAAAAAATGTCTGGACAAGAGTTTATAGTTTTTAATACCTATAAGCAGCAAAAATGTTGTTAGTAACCCATAAAATGGAAAAAACAAATCTTGATAAAAGGAGCTAGGTGCCATTTTACCATCATCACGGAGTATCTCTTCTTGGCAATTGGGATCCTCTTGTTATCCTTTATCCTTTTTCCTCTTGTGGAGATGGCCAAGTGACATTTAGGTTCTGTGCAGTTTTATTTCATGTCCATATTTATCATGGGGAAGCTAATTCCTATTTTGAATTAAAGCATGTTTTCAAATCACTGTATAAAAGATGTAAAGTTATTTTGAAATGATTAAACATGCAGCAAGATTCTGGTTCTCAACTTTAAGCCATTTCCGTCCCGTGAAATATCCGATACAGAGAAAGCTGATTGAAAATGATGCTGTTATCTACATTGGTTTTCTGCCATATCTGGAAATCCACAGTTTTTTCTTTGTATGTTGAGATTCAATAAACCAGAAACTACAAATATTTGTGTTGTATAGTGCTGGTAATGACTGATATCAGGTCACCCCCGTCCCCCCCTTAGTATTTTAGAGATTAGATTAGAACCAAGAAGAAAGCTTCTTGGACTTTATTTTCCAACTTTGCAGAGGAGGTAAACTTTGTCAGCTGTTGGTAGCCAGCCTTGCTTTTTGTTTAAACAGCTTGGCACCATTTTTCATTCCGTCACGCTCTTGATTTGTTTTTCTTACTTTTCAGTCTGTATTGACTCCTTTAGTGAGTTTGATGGCCTGATTTATGAGGTACTGTAGTAGGTAAAGGTACTAGTGTCATGTTTTTTTTAAATCTCTTGTGAGGAGCTGTCAGTCAAATTAAACATTGTCTACCAAGTTCTCACTTTTTTCGTAAATATTTATTGTGATCCCCACAAGTAGAGGAAGATCACTTTGGCTGCTGGTTTCAGACTTTGTACTGATTTTAGAGAAGCAGTCTGATTTATTTTTGCTGTATTCCTTAATATGTTATCTTAATTACTGTTTACCTAAGCCTAGTTTCCGTGTATTTGTAAAAGCCTTGTTAACAGTATGTATGAAGTTTTACAATTGCCGGGTATCATTCCCAATTACAAGTTCATATTTTCATAGTCCATAGTCCTAACAACATTAGTCCTACGTTGAGGATTATACATTGAAATTAAATTTGTTCTACAAGTGAAGCCCAGTGTGTATGCACAAAGTTTATATTGTATCACAAGAAAAGATGATGTGTGACAGGTTGAAACATAAAACAAGTGCTGTAACAAAATCCAAATCTTTTTTAGATTGTCTTGAAAATGGATACTTGGGAAAAAAATGTATTCCTTTTTTCCTAAAGACTTAAACATGGATCCTCATAAATGGCTTGAAATTCTTAATATGTTTGTGAAAAGCTATAAACCATTTTAAAGGGTTAAAAAAACAATTAAATAAAACTAGCTTGCATACTTTCACCTTACCAGGCATACAGAATATCTGTGACACTTTTGGTTGTAAAAGGCAAAAAATAGGTTGACTCTCAGCTGGATGAGGGATTTTTTATGTACTCCTAGGATGAAAATCATAAATCTTAATTGAAGAATGTAAATGCTACCCATTGCTGTGTATGGAAAACTGTACTGTTGTCTGGTCACACGGTTAAGAAAGGCATTTTTCCAAATTTAGCTACTGTATATCCACGTCAGGAGCTCTGGGGGAATTAGATATTTTTTGTTTCATATTTTTTATTTAGTATCAATACCATGGAGTTTTTATTTGATTCCTCTCTTTTGGATTCTTGTCAAAGCTGGCAAAGTAATAACTACTCTATAAATATAAATAGTTGAAGCCTTGCTATAGTGACTATCGGTATCTTGCAAATAACTTTACACTATAAAGAATTTAAAAGACAGTATGAGTTCCTTGAGAAAGTTTGTCTCAGGCAAAAATAAAGTATTCCCTGAGTAGTTATCTTAAGGTTTCCAAACTAGAAATCAAAAATAAAGTCAAAGAAAATCTAAATTAAATCACAGTGGTGCTATCAGGAACCTGACAGGTCTTTCCTTTCTAGATATAATGTATTTGTGTTTTTCTTAATGACTGTGATTCTCTTCCCTTTTGATTAAATACATGTGTAATTTACAGGGGTACAGTGAAAGGCATTTTCAAGGATTTCTTGTTGAACACTATTTCAAACTTTATTTCTTTTGGAGATAGTTTACTGGCAGGCGTTGGTCACTGGGGTTCCCAAGTATGATTTTGAAGGCAAAAGGAAGATGTGCGTTAATGGAAAATTGTTTTGGGGTTCAAGTTTGGTGTTTGAATGCTCAGCCATGGAAGAATTCTTTTCCTGTCAATCAGACACTACGTTTTGGTAAAAGTATTCAGATCTGATACCAAAATAGCAAGTTAGATAGATTTCTGTGTAATATTATTTTGAAGAAATGTTTGCCATGATAAGACTTAATCACCTTACTCAACAGGCAAATTATGTTTGATTTCCAAAGAGGAAGCAGATATTTTATGACATGTACTGTATGTACAAGAACATGTGGGATATCCAGAGTCAAAATAAAAACAGATGTGGAGACTACCACTTTCAAATTTATATTAAAGGGTCAAATTGGCTTGGGTGCCAATACACTGCCTGAGGGCTGTACAAATTAATTATAGTTTTTATAAAATTACATTTTTTTTTAATTAAATATTTTCACCTTTAGCTTTGTCTTAACTACCACCATAACAGTCCTGAACATTTTGTTTCTTTGAAAAATAGTTTATCGATTACTGTGGAAGGAAAAGCCAAACATTTAAAGTGAGATTTTATTCTGAGTGCTGGTTTATACACCTAATACTTGGCTCACTCAGTGACCTCTTATGTTGCCATTGTGCCAGCAATGCTTAGCTGGGTGTGTCTGGAACAATCATTGTCTGCATTCTGTAGACTCTTTGGCCTTGCAGTGAACTGAAAAAAAGAGAATGGTTATCAAGGTCTTAGGCGGCGGCTGTTTTCCATAAAAAAAACCAACAACAAATAAAGGTCCCGTTCTTTCGCAAAAGTTTAATTGGGCGAATTTTTCTCCAGTATGTGTTTAGCTGCCTATTCTACAGTATATGTGTTCCATCTTTGCAGCTGCGTATTTTAGCCTCGAGATGACCTTTGACTTTTCTACACAGTGTCCCCTCTATATGTCAGCTAGTGCACATTAATACAGACCATTCATGACTCCCAGGGAGCATGAGAAAATGTCAGCTACTATACGGCTCGAAGTACAATTA